TTCCTATAAGTTATAACTTTACTAAATGTAATATCTCCTATATCCAAGTGAATTTAAAAGGCTTATGTTAGATGGCCTCCCAGGTGGCCCCAGTGATCTGTCTCCTAGTATTCTCATACTTTCCTCCCCATTTTTCCAGTCTTTGTGCTTGGTAAAATATTATAGACTTGAAGGTATGTCACTTCTGAAAATAGTTGATATAAAACACTGCAGCCTCTGTCTTCATCATTCTCTCTTTATATTTGGTTCAGTGTGGAGAAGCTAACAGTATTGTCATAAGCCCAAATAACGGGGCGCTTGGGTGGCTTAGTTAGTTAAGTGTCTGCTTTAGGCTTAGGTCATGATCCCAGAGTTCTGGGATCGAGCCCTTCGTTGGGTTCCCTGCTCAGCAGGGTGTGTGTGCTTTTCCCTCTCCCCCTCTGCACTCTTCCTGCTTGTGCTCTCTCTCAAATAAATAAATAAAATCTTAAAAAACAAACAAACAAACAAACAAACAAACAAACAACAACTCAATTGGTGGGGAACTGCATCCTCATGCCAAGAGCCATGTTGAGTGAGTTTGCAGTGGATCCTCTAGCTCAGCTGAATGGCAACCTCTCTGGGCCTTGAGACTCAGCCAAGACTGTCCAGCTAGGCTGCTCGGAGATTCCTGATCCATGTGACAGTAAATTTTGTTGTTTTAAGTTGTAAGTTTTGGAGCAATTTGCTGTGAAACAACAGCTAACTAGTACAACAAGGTCTGTTTTCTCTATTTGAGTTTAAAAGAAAAACTTGGTAAATCAGTATTGTCAAAGTGAACATCTTCGTGCTTTATCTTTCATATATTTTTAAGATTTTATTTATTTATTTATTTATTTATTTATTTATTTATTTATTTGAGAGAGAGAGAGAGAGAGAGAGAGAGAGAGAGGCAAGCACAGGGAGCAGCAGGCAGAGAGGCAGAGGGAGTAGTAGACCAACTCCCTGGTGGGCAGGGAGCCTGATGTGGGACTGGATTTCAGGACCCTGAGATCAACCTGAGCTGAGGGCAGACACTTAACTGACTGAGCCACCCAGGCGCCCCCGTCTTTCATATTTTTAAAATAGATTTTATTTATTTGAGAGGGGGAGAAAGAGAGAGACCAAGAGCATGAAAGAGGGAGGGGGGCAGAGCAGTAGGCCGAGGGAGGAGCAGACTCCCTGAGCCCAACATGGGCCTCCATCCCAGGATCCTGGGATGATGACCTGAGCCAAAGGCAGACACTTAACTGACTGAGCCACCCAGGCTTCCTTTCATATTTGTTTTTATTGATTTATAAGATAGTACGTATGTCCCTCGGGTTTTCTGTAGTTTCTAGTGAAACAGCCCTATCCCATTTTACTCGCTCTGTTTTCTGTAGCATCTAGGCAGTAGTTTAGAAGTGGGTCCAAGAGTATCAGATATCAAGTGTACTCATAATTGAACTAAAGACAGGCTTTTTTATGGTATCAAACACCTGTGTGTCTTTTTTAAGGATGTTTTGGTGCAAATTGACATGCAGTGGGCCCTGTCTGAGAAGCTCTAAAACGTATACATACTGCATATTGTAAATGGTGCTGTTATTATAGATATTCAGTGTGTTTTATTTTTGGAAAAAATAATAATTGAATAAAAACTTAGAGACTGTTTAACTCCGATTTTACAAATTAATGGGTGATAAACTATACCCATCTTCTACAGTAGTTGGGTTTTAAAAAATTTAGTATTTTTTTTTTAAAGATTTTTATTTATTTATTTGACAGAAAGAGATCACAAGTAGGCAGAGAGGCAGGCAGAGACAGAGGAGGAAGCAGGCTCCCTGCCAAGCAGAGAGCCCAATGTGGGACTCGATCCCAGGACCCTGAGATCATGACCTGAGCCGAAGGCAGAGGCTTAACCCACTGAGCCACCCAGGCACCCAAAAATTTAGTATTTTTTTAAAAAAGATTTTATTTATTTATTTGAGAGAGGGAAAGAGAGCAGGAGGGAGAGAGAGAAGCAGACTTCCCGCTGAGAAGGGATCCCGACACAGTGCCCGATCCCAGGATTCCAGGATCCCAGGATCCCAGGATCATGACCTGAGCCGAATGTAGAAGCTTAACTGATTGATCCACCCAGGCGCCCCCCAAATTTAATATTTTGTAATGGGACTTAAGTAACAAGTTCATTTTCTAAAGCCAGCTAGCTAGTATTCAGAACAAGTTTGTTTTTATTTTTAGCTTCTTACATTGCAACATGGTTTTCCTAACAGTCACTATTTTTTTTTTTTAATTGAAGTTCATAGGAGACTATATATACAGAAGTGCCATGAGTTTAATTGCCTTAATTAGCTCCTCACCTTGAGGTTAGTATTTTAGTTCGAATTTACTTTTACTTTTTCTTAACAAAAGGTGGTTTTCACATTAAATATAAAATTATATATTTATTGATTTTTAATGAAATTTTTAGTGTCATTCTTTAACAGTAGGCATATTATTACTGATTTATATATGTTCTTCTTTTGAGGACCATATCATTTATATTTGTTTCAGACATTTTCTTCCAAACTTTTTGTTGATTTCTTCTACACTTTACTATTTTACCTTTTATCTATGATATCATCTTAGGATATTTCATCATATCTGTTCTAGTAGTTTCCTAGGAGTCCCATAGCAGCATTATCATAAACTGTTTGGTTTCCACAATAGAAATTTATTTTCTCACTATACTAGAGGCGAGAAGCCTAGAATCAAGGTGTTGGTGAGGCCATGCTCTCTTTGAAGGTTCTAAGGAGGAGTCCTTGCTTTGCTGCCTTCCCAGTTCTGGTGGCTAGTACCAATCCTGGGTATTTCTTGACTTGTAATTGCATCTAATTTCTGCATTTCTCAATACATGGCCTTTTTAATTTGTACCTCTTTACCCAACCCTCCCTCTTTTTATCAAGAAACCATTCTTTGGATTTAGGGTCATTCTGATCCATCCAGTAGGACTTCATCTTAACTTGACTATATCTGCAAAGACCTTATTTACAAATTAGGTGACACTCTGGGATTAAGACTACAACATAGCTTTTTGGGGAATGTGGTTTAACTCACAACACCTATTTTGTTTAATAGTCAATAATTTAATAAAGTATTCTTTATATATTTTTCTTATGCTGTATATATTTAGTATATCTTTATTTTAAACTCTGGTTATTGTTTAAGCTCAGACAGTTATCGAATTCTATCTAATCTAGTATCTTTTATATTGAAAATTATAATCAATAGTGCTTACCATTGTGACTTATTTTTAAAATGTTAATGATTACATTAACATTGAGAAAAGTAGCATGAAATTAACAAAAGACCTTCTAATTTAACTGTCGTTTTGTCCTAGTTCATTCCTATGCTTACTTATATTGAATTGTTATAAAATACTGATGGATAAACCTTGTTTATAAAGGTTCTTAGTGATTAGTATTGGGATTATGGGGATAGTAGGTGCTCCATAAATATTTGCTGTGGATTAACTTTGGCTTGCTACTTTTTGAGAGTACAGCTCTACCACTTGATATTCTAATCTATAAATGCTGTATTTGACATGTGGACTTTTAATTATAGCTAGCCATTTCATCTCAGATTATATATCTTATTGCTGGGACAGTTGTATGTTGATTGGAATAACACATGGTTCCTATTAGAAAATAACATGAAACAAGACAAGTATTCCTATTTAAAACTCTTATTCTTTTATTTTAATATTGGTATCTTATTTTTCTCTTAGGAGACTAATAGATTGTTTAGGTTGTAAGTAACTTTTTTAACGGTTAACTTTTATTCGGGGTCCACATATTTAAAGAAACTTTCTATGGAATTCCACTTGTAGAAGATAAATTAACCCATTCACCCAGAAAATATCTATTCTTAGGAAATACCATTTTATAGAAGTAATAGTTGGAACCATTTTTACTTTTTTTTTTTGAACTCCCATTTACAGATCGCCATAATAGTATTCCCAAAAAGATTCTTAAATTTTACTGTGCCGTCATCTTAATACTGGTTTTCAACCCAAATGCACATTGGAATCACCCAAAAAGCTTTTAAACAAATACCAGTACCTGGACCCCAACTGGGTATTGTCCAGGACAGGACATTGGGTGACAGGACATTGACACCCATTGAAAAGATGGGTAGGAAGATTTTTGTTCTTGTTATGGTTAATATTCGTTATTAATTCTGATGTGTAACCAGGAGTATACCAATACCTTGAAAGTCTGTTTTATATGTGTATTCTGTTGTCTATGAAGGCATTTTTGATGTATGATATAATCTGTGTTTTGGTACCTTACAAAAACAACAGCTCACTTTTCTATTTCTGCTCTGAGATCTGACCTTCTCTGATCAGTTTTTCTTTAATCTTTACAAATCTCAGTATAGACCCTGGACTGGACCAAATACCAAATATTGAAACAAACATTTAAAGTTGAGCTAAGTAATTCTATAACATTACTTTAGACACACTTAAATCATATAACTTGAGTTCTGGCATAAAATTCTAAAACCATGGAATTCTTAATTGAAAGACAAATCAAGAACTGCTTCCAGGTACTTTACAAATGGCATTTGTATTCTGAGATATGTAATAAATATGGAAGTGTATTTGTGCATGCATGTTTGTGTAGCAGTGGGATGACTATATGATTCATCTTCCAACCCATGTTCTTTAGAAAAATACACACCATTTTTTTTAAGTAGGCTCCGTGTCTAATGTGGGGCTTGAACTCACCACCCCAAGACCAAGAGTCACATGCTCTACTGAGTGAGCTAGCCAGGTGCACCATCCCCCCAATACCATTTAAAGAATACTGAAAGAAATACACGTATATCTCCATATTGCTTTTTTTTTTAACCCCTCTCTAAACTAAAATGTTTTGGATTAGTATGAAAAGGCAACTGTAGCAATAAGCAAACATTCTGGGTTACAGAAGCATTTGCTAATGCATTGTTTAATTCTTCTCATTTTTATTGTCTTTTACTCTTAGTGAAGCTATGGTCTACCAACCTAGACAACTCAGTGGCAAGCATTGAGGCGAAGGCTAATGTGTGCTGTGTTAAATTCAGCCCCTCTTCTCGATACCATTTGGCTTTCGGCTGTGCAGGTAAGACATGAAAGCAGCTTTGTCTTCTTTTGATGTTGATTGCGTATTGTGGCTAGGATAAAAGACTGTAGTTTAAAACGAATAACTTGCCTTGTGAGTTTAAATTTTGTTTTTTGTTATTAGATTCTAAGAAGTATTTAGTGTGCCGTCGCTACTCATTTATTACTATGCCTTAATTTTAGTATTCTGTCACCATCTTTCATACATAGAGATGGTTTGTTGATTATTTTTGTTGTTCCTCCAAGTCTTTGCATGCGTGAACTAAGGCTTATTCACACATTTAGGTTGTAATGACATTTAAATGATTAAGCTATATTATACAGACAAAGGAATCCATTTTTTTGATTAAAGGAAATCTATTCATTCCTTTAAAAATTTAATTTATACATATATGTATGTATAACTTATATATATAGGCACAGTGAATGAGACAGGTAAAATCTTGCATCATGGAATGCATGGTAACATAAGAAGTTCTCAAAAACGTGTTAGCGATTACTATAGCAAAGAATTTCTTGTTAATATAATTTTCTTAACTAGGGTGACCAAATGTCTGCCTTTGCCAGTCATGATTTATACTTACATTATTATAATTACTATTAGTGCCTTCTTTCATTCTCAGAAGTGTTATGGGTTGGAAGATAAATCATATGGTTGCACTAGTCCTTTGTCTTCTGTCCACTCCCCCTAATTGTTAACTAGAACAATAAATAGTAAACACTTGTAATTTAACTTCTGCATTAGGAAATCTCTTTGATTCTTTTTATATTGATAATCTCAGTTTTTTAAAGATAAGTTTGGCACCATATAATGAACACAGAAACGCCCTTAAAAAAGGAGAAGCATAATTTAAATCTTATTTGTTATTATACCCTTTCCTTATTTCAGTTTATTTATTCACTTATACACTGACGTAATTTCATAGTTTCAGTAAGGTACGGTCTAATGTGTATCTGTAGGTAAAATTCTCTTTCTGTTAGCATACAGAATTTTGTTTTTCCTAATCAAATGGTATTCTTTTCCATTTGAACCTACTATTTCCTTATTAAATCCCTTTTCTATCACTGACTAGGCAAGCTGATTAATTTATCTCCCCAAGTTTCTTATCCTTAAAATAGAGATAATCCTTTGGTGCTTTATGAAGATTATGAAAGGAAAATGTTACATACAAAGCTTTTCTAATATGGTATTTAGTAATTGTTTAGTTATTTTCATTATTAATACTTTATCATGCATTTAATTAAAATAGCTTATTGAGTTTTATTGTTACGTTCTATTTTATAAACACACTCACCATTGGCCATCGTGTATGAATTGAAGTTATTGTCAGTATTTAATAGGTACAAATACCAGATATGAACATCTTCAGAATTTTTTGTTCCTGGCAAAGGGAAACCTACTTTATTTATGTATTTTTAAATTTTTTAATCCAGTTTAATTTAATTTAATTTTAAAGTTTATTTACTTAAGTGGTCTCTGTACCCAATCTGGGGCTCAAACTCACAACCCTGAGATAGTTCCAAGGTCTTCCGCCTGAGCCAGCCAGGTGCTTTAGGGAAACCTACTTTAAAAAAAATGCTTTGCTCTCTGGCAGGCTGTTTGCCCTTACTGTTTTAAATTTTTATGTATTTCTTACTTAATTTTTGCATTTGCTTTTCCATGTGTGCTTTAAAATTTATCTTTTTCCAATTCTAGAAAAATTCTTTTGGGATTCTTCTCTGAATTACATTTTATTTATTTGTTAATTTTGGAACTACTGGCATTATTAAGATAGTACATCTTCCCACATAGTTATATGGGGTAGTTTTCCGTTTGTTGTGATTATTTTTATCTTACAATGAGATTTCATCGTTTACTTCATTTAGGTATGAGATCTTTCTGGTTAATTTTTTTCTATGTCTGAGTTTTGGTTCTATTTTTTCTATTCCTTATTTTAAGTACTGTTTGCTAAAAGTAAATAAAAATTTTTAATATTTAGATATATGTATTATATCTAGGCTCTTTATAAATGTTTTTTATTAAATCTAGTGGTTTTTTTTGGTGAAGTCTTTGAGTTATCTATTTATACTTGATAGTGGCCGAAATGATGTTTGTTTTTCTTTTCCAGTGGTTTAATGCCTTCTCTTCTTACAATGCAGTGTTTCTATGATACTGGTGATAGTTACTTTCCTCATCTGTTTCATGTAGTTGAATGGGCTTCAGTCTTTCACTTTGTAGGGTATCTTTTTTTTTTTTTCTTTTTTAAGATTTATTTATTAGCGTGAGAAAGAGCGCCTGCGCTGGTGAGGGGAGGTGTGAGGGAGAGAGTCCTCTCCACGTTGAGTAAGGATTGACCAAGGCTCAATCTCATGACTACCAGCTTGAGATCATGACCTGAGCTAAAACTAAGAGTCAGATGCTCAGCAGACTGAGCTACCCCGGCGATCCTAGGATATCTACTTTTGGAAAATACTCTTTATTAAGTTCAGAAGATTTCATTTTATTGTTTCTTAGGCGCAACTTCAGTATTTCATCAAGTGCCTGTATAGCCACAGTTGATACAGTCATATGATTTAATTTATTGATATGAATTATGTATATACATTTTCTGATATTGAATTATATTTGTGTTTGTAGAATAAACCTTTTTTGCACATAATGATAAATAGGTGTTATTGCTGGTATTTTTATATCTATAATCATAAATTTGATCTTTTTTAAAAAATCATTTTAATCATTATTTTATAATTCCTAGTGTACATAAGTCTTGAACTTGTCTTGTTTAATTTATTCCTGAGTATTTTATTACTTTTTTTAATTTAAAAAATTTTTTTCCAAGTTTTTATTTAAATTCCAGTGGACATATAGTATTTTATTACTTTGAAATGTATTGTGAATGGAATTTTCTTAATCTTATTTTTGAATTGTTTGTTACTAAAGTTCAGAAATAGAATTAACTTTTGTATATTGATCTTGCATCCTACAATTTTGCTGGTCTTGTGTATTTTTTCCTCTTAGTTTTATTGTGGATTTCGTGGGATTTCTATATTTAGGATCAAGGTATCTGTGAGTTAAAATAATTTAATTTCTTCCTTTACTATGCTAATGTCTTCTTGCTTACTTGTATGAGCTAAAAGCCCAGGTATAATGTTAAATGGAAGTGGCAGAAGGAACTTCCATACATCATGGAGAAAACATTCAGTTCTTCACAGTTAAGTGTGATATTAGCTCTAAGATTTTTGTTGATACCTTTATCAGGTTGAGTAAATTTCCTATTCCTAGTTTGCTAAAAGTATTTATTATGAATGAGTGTTAGATTTTGTCAATGCTTTTTCTATGTCTGTTGAGGTAATCTTGTAGTTTTATGTCCATTATTATAATAATCGGGGATAGTTCATTATTGTTGTGGTTTTGAATGCTAAACAAACCTTCCATTCCTGGGAAAAAATCTCTCTTAGCCATGGTATAAAATCCTTCTTAATATGTTACAGAATTGAGTGTTCTAATGTTTTAAGTATTTTTGTGGTATTTGTAACTTTCTTATGATGTTTTTTGGCTTTGATAGCAAAGTACTATTGGCCTTATAGAATGAGTTGGGAAGTATTTATTTACTGAATGAGTTTGTAAAGGGTTGGTATTACTTCCATCTTTAAATTTTTTAAAAAAGATTTTATTTATTATTTGAGCAAGAGAGTGAGCAAGAGAGAGAGCATGAGCAGGAGAAGGGGCAGAGGGAGCGGAGAAGCACACTACCCACTGAGCAGGGAGCCCAAAGAGGGGCTTGATCCCAGGACCCTGGGACCATGACCGGAGCCAAAGGCAGCATTTAACAAACTGAGTGACCCAAGTGGCCCTCTTCTTTAAATATTTGATGGAATTTATCAGTGAAACTGTCTGGACTTGGACTTCATGAGAATATTCTAAATACATAATTTAATTTCTTCTTAAAAATTCATTCAGATTTTCTGTTTCTTTTTTAACTCAGTTTTGGTAGTGACTTCCTCTCTGGGAATTTGTATATTTAATTTTTCTAATTTGTTGTAATAAAGTTGCTCAAACATTCTCTTATTGTTCTTTTAATTTTTGTAGTGTTAGTAGTAGTGTCCCATCTTTCATTGCTAACTGGTCTTTTGTGTTTTCTCTCTTTTTTCTTTTTGGTGGGTCTAGTTAAATATTTGTCAAGTTTCTTCAACTTCAGACCAGAATATCCTATATTGCCAGTGTACTTAACATTGTTACCCAAACTTACTTGTTGGAAGGGTTAGAGATCTATAGGCTGAACCTCTTATAATGATTCTTATCTCACCATAAGTATCAGTAGACCAAGAGAGATGTTCTTTCCTTCTTATCCAATCCAGATCAAGATATGTTGAGTTCAGGTAGGTTATGCTATTGCTATAATAAAGAGATCAGAAATTGTTTACGGTAACTGATACAAAGCTAGAGACTGGACATTGAAAAATTACATTAGAAAACCTCCACATCCTTACAGTGACGCTTGCAACAGAAATATCCAAAGCTGAATGACCACCAAGTTTCTATCTTTCAGATCTTACATAAGTGCTTCCCTGTGCTGGAAACTCATTCACATCTGGAAGCATAACTTTAAGAGGATCTGGGCAATACAGTTTTTAACTTTCCATCCTCCATAGGCTTTAATAAGGTGGTAGGAATGGATGCCGAGGACATTGGCCTTATCCAGCACAATGCAGTTTCATATGAGTTAAGGACATAATTTTTCTGGCTTTGAAATAGGTATTTTGTATCCAGGCAAGCATTAATGAAGCCAATAGTCCTTACTTTATTCACTTTCTTTAATTCTGTCTTTTACTGATTGAAACATGCATCTTATTACTAAAACATATTAGAAAAACAATGACTTATGTTGTATCATTTTCATTTAGAATTGCAACATTTCTTAGATTGTAGACTATTGTCTAAATGTTTTTCTTTAAACTGTAAAACATCACTCTTTAACTGTACCATTTATTTTGCTACTCGGAGAAGTACAGGGTCATATT